GTAATCTGGGTATACCTCATTGGTTAGCTGTAAAACGTTTACTTAAATGCATACAAGGCACATTAGATTTTTCATTAACATATCAAACATATGATATAAATATTAATGGTTATTATAATGCTGATTTTACTGGAGATATTGATGATCGAAAATCCACCACATGGTATATATTTTATTTTAGGTGGTGGTATTCCATGATCTAGTAAAAAACAAGGTTGCACAGCTAAAAATACTATAAAAACTGAATATGTTGCTTCTAGTATGATTGTTTCTGAGGTCATATGGTTAAAATGGTTTCTAATTAATTTAAAAATTCCTTGTGTAAATAATATGTCTATTCGTATTTTTTGTGATAATGAGGCTGTAATAAAAATCATTAAAAATGAAAAAATCGGTCCCAAAGATAAGTATATTGAGTTGCAATATCACTATATAAGTGATATAATACAAAAAAGAGCATGTTACTATTGATTATCTTTGTACAAAAGATATGGTTGTAGAGTCATTGACAAAACTTACTAGAATTAAAGAATTTAAACGATATATCATTGCTATGGATTTAAGTTATGAATAAATATCTCGGGTTTGTGGCCAAGTGAGAGATGTTGGAATTTATGTAGCTAAAATCCATCGATATTAATTAAACCATAATTGGTGGTCAAATCCGGAATATAAAACTTCAATCAATTGGTTAAATATTACATTATTTATAACATATATCATAGATATATTTTTTATGAAATTATTATGTACTAAATATTATTATATGTTTGGATTTTTGGGTTTAACTTTTTCTAGTCAGTATAAATGACTTGGCTAGAGTAACTCATCAAATTGTAATCAATTGCGTCTAAGATAGTTAAACCTATTTGGAATATTTTAGTCTTTTTTTACTGTAAGGACTAGGGAGTTGAGAAAATATTGATGGAGTTGAGGCTAATTAGGTGAGTGGTAACAACTAACTGAATGGCTAGTTGATACATCTTCTATTATAAATAAGACTCTTTGAATACAGAGATAACCATCGGTGAGAAACACCAAGTTGAGAGAAAACTCATTAGAAGAAAATTTTCAACTCTACTATTTTCGTATCAAAGAAAGTTTTTAACTTTCAAAGGTTAGTNTCCCCTCTGGCCTGGACGTGGTGTGCTCCCGCTGTTGCCTGAAGCCATCCCATTGTCCCCATTGTCACTCTAACTGAGCGAAATAGCCGTGAAAAAAGAACGATAAAGCAAAGAGTTAGAGAGAGAANTTATGCAAATTCCTATAGATCTCAACTAGAAGTTCTTGATCGAAACTGATTGGCCTAAGCCAATCCAAGCCTAGATCAGAGATGCAGATCAGGTCCAGCTCAAATATATAGGCTAACTCTACCACAAGATCAAAGAATTTCAATTGGGCCAAACCCACCTTGAAAGATCAACTCATCATCAGTGCACGTAGGAATCTTCATCTAAGGAGAGGGATTTCGTGGAAACGCAATCATTATGGGTACATCACTAGTCTCGCAAGATTATCTCGTCCGTTACGAGATAGGACGAGATTTAAGGAATCACCTAGTCTTTGTTATGAGGATGGCGCCCCAATTAGAATTCTTCGGAGTCAACTTCACTCACTTATAAATTGTAAGTCTCGCCTATATATGGAAGGTATCGCACACATCTCAGCACACTACACCTTTTAAATAATAAGATTCTCCAGCCACCATTAATATTCCCAATAGAATAGATCACCCAGACTAAACTACCTAATATATGTCTCTTATTGTGTTGAGCATCCACCATGACCTACACCATCACATATGTGATTAATTTTACTTAAACACATANTCTGCATGCTTCTTTGATGTGTTCTTGACTAAATATGGGATGCAATGGTCACACCACATCACTAAAAGTGCAACTATCTCATAATAAATTCTTAAATGGAGAAAGTGCTTTCAATATTTATGTATTATGATTGGATAAAGTGTATTCTGATCAAATTATGTGTACCTCAATTAATATTTTTTTTACTCTAATCAAAGTCAGACCATCAACATCAAAATTAGAGTATTTATGATTTGACATAAAAAAATTATTAAAATTCAAACTTAGAACGTTTGAGTATTTATGAGTTTACTGGGACCTATAGTGAAATTAATGATTGAGATTATCAAATCTAATTTTTAAGTCTATTTTTTTAGTTTATGTAACATTACTGTTTCTCTAATAACATTGCTCTTATAATATCTTTACCTCAAGATATTAGATCAGATAATCAAATAATAAACAAATATAGACAGGTGATAAATGGGATAAAATACTTCATCTCAACAAGATTCGTTTATTATATTGAATTTATATATTTATCATTCAAACTTATTTAGATTGAATTTAAATTTATTAATTTTACATTGATTCATGTCAATTAATCTAATCGTTTTGAATATTATCAGAACTAATCATACTCAGAGCATTTTTTTTTTTTGAGTTCAACAGTTGGGGGAGTCTAGACTAATTTGCGCATATTTTGACTAATTTCTTCCTCAATTTAGTAAAAGACAAATTATCCACGCTGAAAATAGAGTATTCACGAAAAATAAATCTCTCATAACTTGATTCAAAAGAATTATTAAACTCGAATTCAGAATGTTGTTTGAATTGATTGCTTATGTATATTCTTCTTGACCTATTTCGGCTTGAGCTCAATTTGAAATAGGAAAAACTCTCACCACAGCTTGTTATTTTATTGTTTTAATTTTAATAAAGTATTGGGTAAATTACATTGACACCTATTGATATTTAGTTTTATTACAGAAACACACCTCACGTTCCCAAAATTACACTAAGACCACACAAAATGAACGTCGTTAACAGCACAAACAAAAAGACCATTTTACCCTCACATTAACTATTCATCAAGACCCAAGATCCAAGACCCCTCCCCTGAAAGCTGACCACCTTCCCCCCACACACACACTATCTATTTCTCTCACGATAAATCAAAGCCCCATCAACCAACGATCTTGCTCTCTCACAACAAATCAAAGCCCCAACAACACAACCACAACCTATCCATCAACATTATTGCCACCCATAAGATTTGATCTCCAATTGGCGCACGAACGAATCTTTACCTAAGGTTTGTGATCTACATCTCTCTCTCTTTCTCTGTGATTGATACCCTAAGTGGTGGAATCAATGGTAATGGGTGGATTTTGCAAGTGGTGGTTGTAGGTGGATTTTGAAACCCTAACCTCTGCAATGTGGTAGTGTTGGTTGATGATAGGTTTGGTCCAGGTGGTGGTTTTAGTGGTGGTGGAGGCAGGGGTGGTTTCAGTGGGTTTTGGTTTTAGTCTCTCATTTCTCTATCTCTCTCTCTCTCTCTATGCTGATGGTGGTAGGTCTAGCTANTGGTAAACGAAATGTGGCAGTGATCTAAGAAGAAGTGTTCAGTTGTTTGTGTTTGTATCTGCATGCTTCTTTGATGTGTTCTTGACTAAATATGGGATGCAATGGTCACACCACTCACACCACATCACTAAAAGTGCAACTATCTCATAATAAATTCTTAAATGGAGAAAGTGCTTTCAATATTTATGTATTATGGTTGGATAAAGTGTATTCTGATCGATTTATGTTTACCTCAATTAATATTCTCTTTACTCTAATCAAAATCAGACCATCAACATCAAAATTAGAGTATTTATGATTTGACATAAAAAAATTATTAAAATTCAAACTTAGAACATTTGAGTATTTATGAGTTTACTGGGACTTATAGTAAAATCAATTATTGAGATTATCAAATCTAATTTTTAAATCTATTTTTTTAATTCATGTAAGATTACTGTTTCTCTAATAACATTGCTCTTATAATATCTTTACCTCAAGATATTAGATCAGATAATCAAATAATAAACAAATAGAGACAGGTGATAAATGGGATAAAATACTTCATCTCAACACGATTCGTTTATTATATTGAATTTATATATTTATCATTCAAACTTATTTAGATTGAATTTAAATTTATTAATTTTACATTGATTCATGTCAATTAATCTAATCGTATTGAATATTATCAGAACTAATCATACTCAGAGCATTTTTTTTTTTGAGTTCAACAGTTGGGGGAGTCTAGACTAATTTACGCATATTTTGACTAATTTCTTCCTCAATTTAGTAAAAGACAAATTATCCACGCTGAAAATAGAATATTCATAAAGAATAAATCTCTCATAACTTGATTCAAAAGAATTATTAAACTCGAATTCAGAATGTTGTTTGAATTGATTGCTTATGTATATTCTTCTTGACCTATTTCGGCTTGAGCTCAATTTGAAATAGGAAAAACTCTCACCACAGCTTGTTATTCTATTGTTTTAATTTTAATAAAGTATTGGGTAAATTACATTGACACCTCTTGATATTTAGTTTTATTACAGAAACACACCTCACGTTCCCAAAATTACACTAAGACCACACAAAATGAACGTCGTTAACAGCACAAACAAAAAGACCATTTTACCCTCACATTAACTATTCATCAAGACCCAAGATCCAAGACCCCTCCCCTGAAAGCTGACCACCTTCCCCCCACACACACACTATCTATTTCTCTCACGATAAATCAAAGCCCCATCAACCAACGATCTTGCTCTCTCACAGCAAATCAAAGCCCCAACAACACAACCACAACCTATCCATCAACATTATTGCCACCCATAAGATTTGATCTCCAATTGGCGCACAAACGAATCTTTACCTAAGGTTTGTGATCTACATCTCTCTCTCTCTCTGTGATTGATACCCTAAGTGGTGGAATCAATGGTAATGGGTGGATTTTGCAAGTGGTGGTTGTAGGTGGATTTTGAAACCCTAACCTCTGCAATGTGGTAGTGTTGGTTGATGATAGGTTTGGTCCAGGTGGTGGTTTTAGTGGTGGTGGAGGCAGGGGTGGTTTCAATGGGTTTTGGTTTTAGTCTCTCATTTCTCTATCTCTCTCTCTCTCTCTCTATGCTGATGGTGGTGGGTCTAGCTGGGTTTGAAAGTTTTAGGGGGTGGAACTGGTGGTGCTGGGTGGGTTTAGGTGGTGGACTGGTGGTAATGGGCGGTAGGAGTAAGAATTTATGTAATTAGATAAATAATAAATAAAAAAATTTTAATATGGTATAATTGGATAAGTAATTATTAAAATTTTAAATTTTTATACTGTACTAATAATCTCAAATATTATTTAATAAACAAAAAAATTTTAAAAATTAACTTATGAATGTAATAAATTAGGAAATTAAACATTGCCATGTTAAATTTTAATTTTAATTTATATATAAAATATATATATATTGAAAAAAATAAATGAGAGGTTGGGTAAATTTGTAGGATAAGAAAAACATTTATTTGAATTCTTAAACTTAATTGTGGAGGATATTTTTGGTATTCTATGAATCATTGTTGATAACATCAACTTTGACTGTGAATAGTTTTAATGTCTATTAGTTAGAGAGGGTGTGGTTGTTACAACAAGTATTAAATGTCAAGGGAGTTTAGTGTTATTTTTAAAATATGAGAGGGTATCCGTGTAATAAAATCAAATGTAAGGAGGTGTCAATATAATTTATCCTAAAGTTTTTATACGGTGGTTAAGACAGCCAAAATAAGCGCGCCAAAGTCGCTTCACTTTCTGTTAAGCTGCAAAGGTTGCCCCAAACTTCTGACTCTCTCTCTCTCCATTTCCTTATCTTTCTCTCTCCTCCACTACCTCTGTGTTTGATCTCTTCCGATCCCCAAAATTTCGAAACCCTTCCGAGTTTCGCCCGCGAATTTCAGCATGGATTCACACAAATTTTCGAAATTTTTATGGGCTTTTGCCTGCATTGTTGAGGGTCAATAGTGTTTGTTGAGCAAGAAGATTAGCAAATCAAAGTTAATCACGCCCTTCGAGATTTGAAAGAAGATCAGCTGATAATTTTATCTTATTATTTACCTTCATTCTTTTTTCTATTCTTGAAGCTTTTTTTGGGGAAGTTGATGATAGGCCAAAACAGATTGTATCGGCATCTATGAAGACTATGCGGATGGTTGGGACAAAAAACGCTTCTTCGGCGGCTTCACAAGATTTGTTTCAGATGGAATGGCAGATCCTGCTAGTTATGGCAATCCTGACCGTGACATTGAGCAGGTCAGTCTATTTTTTCTATACAAATTGTAAGGAATATTCAAAAAACAAAAATCTCAAAATCACACAATTTTTTAACACGAAGTATTATGAGAAAATTTCCTGGAAAAATTATGTGTTAGTGTAGTGAATTTTACTATTTTAGTATATTATTCCACCCCTTTGTTCTGGTATGGTTACGGATTTCAAGCAAAATTACCCTTTAATGTGCTGAATTCACNACAAATTGTAAGGAATATTCAAAAAACAAAAATCTCAAAATCACACAATTTTTTAACCCGAAGTATTATGAGAAAATTTCCTGGAAAAATTATGTGTTAGTGTAGTGAATTTTACTATTATAGTATATTATTCCACCCCTTTGTTCTGGTATGGTTACGGATTTCAAGCAAAATTACCCTTAAATGTGCTGAATTCACCCCCACAAAAGAACTTATACAACGATCATGATTCGGTGTTAGAATGATGGTGTTTAAAAAGAGGAATTGTTAGTGCCGAATTGAGCAATTGTAATCTATATGTCTTCCTTTGTTTTGGTTCAACGGTAAAGGGTGTCCAGGCTAACTTACGCACACCTCGACTAATTCCCTCTCCAGGTTAAAGCGGACCATCCTCATCATGACTAAGGTATTCACGGAAATAAATCCCTCTTGGCCCGGCCCCAAAGGGTTGTCAAAATTCGAACTCAAGATATCTGGGTCAATCTGTCTATATTACCACTTGAACTACCCTTAAAGACTAAAGTTATCTATATGTCTTCCACATTTAAGAGAGGATGATTTTGAACCCTTATATGTGCTAGATGATGAGTTTTGAACCCTTGTGCCTGGTACACAGTGACTGAAGTTTCCACAAGACTAAGACATCAAATCATCCAAATATATAGTCTCCGTAGCTACGCATTTTGCTATTCAAACCTCCCCATCCTAGGAAATTTGTTAGCTTTCAGTAAGGGTGAGGGGCAAGGTATATGCAAGGTTCTAGTCCACTTAGAAGTAAGAGAAAGTAGGGGAGATAACAGACAATTTTGGTATGTAATTCTCATTAGAGAGATCAATGGCTAACTTTTATGGCTGAACTGAAATAGTTTGAAAACTTGAAGGAAAATTGGCTGCACTTTAATTGCTGTGTCAAAGTGTAGGGTACCTTGGTCTACTTGATCATTGTTAAATAAATTTTAGAAGATCTTGGAATACTTCTTTTGTTAATGACTATAGGAGATTAGAACCAACTGAGGAAAAGAAATGAAAAGAACAATTCCTGAAGTGGTAAGAAAAAAACGTGAGATGACTAGCTTACGAACTTTATCCCAGAGATGTGAGCAGAAATTGTAGATTTGTGTCGTATCTATTGCCTGCGGCCTCTTGGAAGTTGAATATTGAATTACCTTCAATAGAGTACGTTTTTTATGCAATTACATGGCTTTTGCTTTGCCTTGCAAAGTTTGCGACATTTTGTCCAACAATTGTGTTAAAGAATTCCCTTCTTCATGTTAGTGCTTCAAGTTAATGTACGAGGATTCTCCCTTTATGCTTTTTACATGTACACTGAAAATTTTGAAATTACGACATACTTTTTCTGTCTGTTCATTGAAATCTAGTTAATATGATGTGTGTATTTATTTACGTTGATGTGTTATATTTCTGCTTTCGAAGGCACTCATTGCACTGAAAAAAGGTACCCAGTTAATCAAGTACAGCCGGAAGGGAAAACCTAAGTTTTGTCCATTCAGAGTTTCTCCGGTAAGTTGTATTTTATTCTCCTAGACTGAGATACTGAAGTTCTTCTACACTATTGTAGTGGTTATCTGGAAGTTGTATGTGGAAGAGAGTATAATGAAACATGGCTATCAGGATGCACATTTTATGGGAAAATGTCTTGCAAATGATGACATCTAGAAGATTTGAGATAATCATTTATACAGTTTCTCTGCACCTGATTAAATTTTTATTTTATATACTACCCTATCTCTTGTGTGAAAAACTTGGTGGCTTGTACACCAAAAAGCATGCCTACATTTGGTACATAGCATAAATTTATTTGGAAATTCAATAGTAAGGACAGGCACTAAGATTCCTATATTTTTATAATGAATACTATATTCATCTTTTCATTCATAGGAAAACATGATATGAAAGGAAATAGTTTGATATGTATCAATTCTTAGCATTTGCTGATATTTACAGGATGAAACAACATTGATCTGGTATTCCCATGAAGCAGAAAGGAATCTGAAGTTGTCTTCTGTTTCACGAATTATCCCTGGGCAGAGAACCGTGAGTTTGGAATTTTTCTAAGGGTGAATTAATCATTGTATGCTTGAAATTCATATAACATGATAGTTTTCAAATGTGTTCAGCAATTGTGTAGATAAAATTTCAAGTAGAATTTTACCTGTCAACTGTGTCACCTGCAGGCTGTGTTTAGAAGATATTTGCGTCCTGAGAAGGAGTACTTGTCGTTTTCGCTCTTATATAATCAAGGAGAAAGATCTCTTGATCTGGTCAGTGACATTCAACAATTTTAACTATAATACTATTCATACGATTTGAACTTTGGTGAGGACGAGTTTAAGTCGATTGATTACCTTTAATTGTTTGCACTCCATAGATTTGCAAGGACAAAGTTGAGGCAGAGGTGTGGCTTTCAGGCTTGAAAGCTTTAATCCCCACCGGTCAAAGTCATAGTAGACGTACTCGGAGTGACATTTCTGATGTAAATTTCTCATTTGAAACTAATCCTTGACATGATCAATCATTTTCCTTGATGCATTTCATATTTTTCTGAGAACAATCTGTCTGGTTTTTACTTTAATGGTTCTTTCTGCCTTCAGTGGTGTGTATTTCTGGGGGTCAGAGCTAGAATTTTGGATTTGATTGATAATAACAATGTCTCTGTTTAATATTATTGAAAAAGGCATGCCACTATAGAAGTTCTATCTTTAATACTTCCTCTTAAAAGCGGCTACCTGTTTTCCATACTCTGTAATGTCATTATGAATAGGACTATGCACTCTCTTCAACATCCCAGTGTATTAGGATGCTTTCTATGAAGAAGTCATATGAGAATTCAGTTCACTAAGGTGGCTAAATGTCCGTTACTNAATATTATTGAAAAAGGCATGCCACTATAGAAGTTCTATCTTTAATACTTCCTCTTAAAAGCGGCTACCTGTTTTCCATACTCTGTAATGTCATTATGAATAGGACTATGCACTCTCTTCAACATCCCAGTGTATTAGGATGCTTTCTATGAAGAAGTCATATGAGAATTCAGTTCACTAAGGTGGCTAAATGTCCATTACTTANTGTAATGTCATTATGAATAGGACTATGCACTCTCTTCAACATCCCAGTGTATTAGGATGCTTTCTATGAAGAAGTCATATGAGAATTCAGTTCACTAAGGTGGCTAAATGTCCGTTACTATTCTTTAATTAATCATGGAAAGTAGTAGTGGATGGACAATGTATCTGTAAATGATTTGGAGATTTAAACAAGTATTTGCGTGGAATGGAAAATTTAGGAAATCCAAAATATTAACAGGGTAGGAAAAGAGCTTCAATTTAGTGATTCTATTCCCTAAGTATATGTTCAATAGTTGATACAACATGAATTGGGTTACTCATGCTTCATAAATTAATTAAAAGTTTCCTCAATGGTTTTAGATTTGATATTGTTCGTCTTCCCCCCATGTAGGCTAGTGTGATTTTGCCTTTTGAACATGGAAACTGTAAAATTACCGATTTATATTCAGCTGATGAATTATATTATTTCGTGACTAGTTCCATAATCTTTTAGACAATTGCCGATATCTGTACCTAATTGCGATCAAATTACTAGGTTATCTACCAGTTTCTTTGTTTAAATTTAAAGTTCCACATAACACAGTCCAAATCAATTCCTTGTTTATGTAGTCATGACTTAGTGAGTTTACCATATATGTACTCAATACAAATAAATATTTATGGGGCTGAGTAATTTTCCAATTAAGTGAATCAGTTTTTTCATGTTTGTTTTGTAGTTACATGACGGTGGTAGTGATTTTGTTCAAAACGGGCGTCCATCTGGTGCAAGTCTAGAGTTCACTCCTAGTATTCCACGCGGCAAGGTTTCTGTTGATTTTGGTTCTCGTGGAACTTCTTTGTATTTGCCGAGCTCAGATGTGGGGTCTGAACGAGCAAATATGCAAGTGAGAACAAGCACTTCAGATGGTTTCCGAATTAGTGTCTCAAGCACTCCTAGTTGTTCAAGTCAAGGTTCTGGACCAGATGACATAGAATCATTGGGTGATGTGTATGTCTGGGGACAGGTTTGGTCTGATGGAGTTGCAATTGATGGATCTGGGATTCCAATTGCTACAAAAACTGATGTGCTTACTCCTAGGCCCTTGGAGTCAAATGTTGTTCTTGATGTTCACCAAATTGCTTGTGGTGTCCGACATGTTGCTCTTGTTACCAGGCAAGGTGAGGTTTTCACCTGGGGAGAGGAATCTGGAGGCAGACTCGGTCATGGAACTGAAAAAGACTTCAGTCGCCCTCATCTTGTTGAATTTCTGGCAGTTTCCAATGTGGATTTTGTCGCATGCGGTGAGTATCATACATGTGCTGTATCTACATCTGGTGATTTATATACCTGGGGTGATGGTACCCATAATGCTGGACTTCTTGGTCATGGCTGTGATGTTAGCCACTGGATACCAAAAAGGGTTTCAGGTCCTTTAGAAGGACTTCAAGTTCTATCAGTGGCATGTGGGACGTGGCATTCAGCATTGACAACTTCTGGTGGAAAGTTATTCACATTTGGTGATGGAACATTTGGTGTTTTAGGCCATGGTGATCGAGAAAGTGTTCCATATCCCAGGGAAGTACAATTATTGAGTGGACTGAAGNACTTCAAGTTCTATCAGTGGCATGTGGGACGTGGCATTCAGCATTGACAACTTCTGGCGGAAAGTTATTCACATTTGGTGATGGAACATTTGGTGTTTTAGGCCATGGCGATCGAGAAAGTGTTCCATATCCCAGGGAAGTACAATTATTGAGTGGACTGAAGACTATAAAGATTGCATGTGGACTATGGCACACTGCAGCCATTGTAGAGGTCGCAAACCAGTCTAATGCAAATATTTCATCTAGAAAGTTGTTCACATGGGGTGATGGTGATAAAAACCGACTGGGCCATGGTAACAAGGACACTTACCTGCTTCCAACATGTGTCTCTGCACTTATTGACTATAACTTCCATCAGCTGGCTTGCGGCCACAACATTACCATTGTCCTTACAACATCTGGCCATGTCTTCACCATGGGCAGCACAGCATATGGTCAACTGGGCAATCCTCAATATGATGGGAAGTTACCTTGCCTAGTACAAGATAGATTGGTGGGTGAGTTTGTTGAAGAAATAGCATGTGGTGCGTGTCATGTAGCTGTCCTGACCTCAAGAAGTGAAGTATTCACTTGGGGCAGAGGTGCCAATGGAAGATTGGGACACGGGGACACAGAAGATCGGAATATTCCAACTTTGGTTGAAGCACTAAAAGATAGGCACGTGAAAAACATAGCATGTGGCTCAAATTACACTGCAAGTATATGCATTCATAAATGGGTCTCTGGAGCTGATCAATCTGTTTGTTCTGGTTGTCGACAAGCATTTGGTTTCACTAGAAAGAGGCATAACTGCTATAACTGTGGACTTGTGCATTGCCATGCTTGCAGTTCCAGAAAAGCATTAAAAGCAGCATTGGCTCCAACTCCTGGAAAACCACATCGTGTCTGTGACTCTTGCTATATGAAACTTAAAAAGGCTGCTGAGGCTTGTAACACCCCAACTTTTAATAGGAAAGTGACTTCACCTCATCGTTCCATAGACAGTAGTACTAGGCTAGACAGGGTAGGGACAAGGACTTCAAGAATTCTGCTCTCACCCACTTCAGAACCAATAAAATACCTTGAGGTCAAGTCTGCAATGCCTGGGACCAAATCTGATTCTTATTCTATAGTGAGAGCTTCCCAAGTACCGTCACTTTCACAACTTAAAGACATTGCATTTCCTAGTTCACTTAGTGCTCTTCAATATGCTCTGAAGCCTGTTATAACAACCCCTCAGTCTCAGCCGCAGCTTCAATCTCATCCTCAGCCGCAGCTTCAGCCTCATCCTCTGCCTTCATCCTCTTCAAGACCTGCTTCGCCATACTCAAGGAGGCCGAGTCCCCCACGTTCTGCAACTCCAATATTTTCTAGGGGTGTCATTGATAGTCTGAAGAAGACAAATGAGCTTTTGAATCAGGAAGTTTCCAAACTGCAAAACCAAGTAATAAAGTTTTCCTTTTGCTGAAGTAACGAGCTTGGTTGTGTTAGAAGCTGGCTTATTCTAAGAGTTATTTGTTTCCCCTTCTTTTATACGTGTAGATTAAAAGCTTAAAGCAGAAAAATGAAGTCCAAGATGCAGAGATTCAAAAATTACAAAACAATTCTCAAGAGGCTGCTTCTTTGGCTGCAGACAAATCTTCCAAGTGTTCTGTTGCTATAGAACTTGTCAAGTCCATCACAGCTCAGGTATTCTGGTTCCCTCTTTTCATCTATTTATGACCACTACAGCTTTCCCATATGTTTATGACTAACATTTAAGAGTGTACTTGCATTAAGCATGTTGTATTTAGGGGCAATTATGAGGGCGCAATGTTGTGAAATTATGACATCAACTTCAAATTCCTAAATAAAACACATGAATTCCAAGGCAACGAATAGCATAATATTTCCACCAAGATTCTGTTGATTTCATTAATGTCCAGAAAATATAGCTGAACGCAGCCTTCTAAAAGTGCTCAACGCAGTTGCCATTAGGTTATATATGATGGAATAGCACAAATGCATGGACATACTTAAGAGGCCATTACCTATTTTGGTCTCCAACATTGTGAGTGCTAGGAGAGGTGGAATGAGTCTAGCCGTCAGCATTAAATGCACGGCAGCTGCTGTCATACTCACCATATCCTTATCATTAGGTCATTAGCCAGAGTTTTACCACTACACCTGCGAAAAAGGAAATTGCACTATAAGCCTGTTATCTGTGGTTTTTTTTTAATGTTATGCAGCTGAAGGAAATGACAGAGAAGTTGCCTNCCAAGTAATAAAGTTTTCCTTTTGCTGAAGTAACGAGCTTGGTTGTGTTAGAAGCTGGCTTATTCTAAGAGTTATTTGTTTCCCCTTCTTTTATACGTGTAGATTAAAAGCTTAAAGCAGAAAAATGAAGTCCAAGATGCAGAGATTCAAAAATTACAAAACAATTCTCAAGAGGCTGCTTCTTTGGCTGCAGACAAATCTTCCAAGTGTTCTGTTGCTATAGAACTTGTCAAGTCCATCACAGCTCAGGTATTCTGGTTCCCTCTTTTCATCTATTTATGACCACTACAGCTTTCCCATATGTTTATGACTAACATTTAAGAGTGTACTTGCATTAAGCATGTTGTATTTAGGGGCAATTATGAGGGCGCAATGTTGTGAAATTATGACATCAACTTCAAATTCCTAAATAAAACACATGAATTCCAAGGCAACGAATAGCATAATATTTCCACCAAGATTCTGTTGATTTCATTAATGTCCAGAAAATATAGCTGAACGCAGCCTTCTAAAAGTGCTCAACGCAGTTGCCATTAGGTTATATATGATGGAATAGCACAAATGCATGGACATACTTAAGAGGCCATTACCTATTTTGGTCTCCAACATTGTGAGTGCTAGGAGAGGTGGAATGAGTCTAGCCGTCAGCATTAAATGCACGGCAGCTGCTGTCATACTCACCATGTCCTTATCATTAGGTCATTAGCCAGAGTTTTACCACTACACCTGCAATGGCCCCTACATACATACATAGGGCTGCAAGTATATACATGATGTATGTGTGTGTATGCATGTTTTTCTGACTTTTCACTGCTAACATGCATGAATATCCATTATTATGAACCCAAAATGTCCATTATGATTGAGTCCTTAATGTTAAAGAAGATTAAAATGATATAATATTAACTTCCATTGATTCATCAGTCCTGTTTTATTTGTCCACGTCTACTTACGGTACCCAGGTCCCTTTTCATATACAAATCCTTCATGGCATGATTATCCTATCATGACTAGACAAAAATGATATAAGATGAAGTTTGGATCTCTTCTACTCCAGCGAAAAAGGAAATTGCACTATAAGCCTGTTATCTGTGGTTTTTTTTTTAATGTTATGCAGCTGAAGGAAATGACAGAGAAGTTGCCTCCTGAGATCCCAGAATGTGAAACCTTTAAAGCTCTGCGTGCTCAAGTTGAAATGTTTCTGAATACCAATTTAACTGAAGCATCTGAAGACCATTCTTCTTTGCCATCAGAGTTGGTATCTGACCAACAAAATCTGCCTCAAAACACTTCATCAGTCGGTATGTTAGCTAACAGGATGGAGGACCATGTACATGCTGGTAGATTCCAAGACTTATCAAAGGATGGTGAAGGTACGCCACAGAACAGCAATGGGCAATCTCTTGAAGCTACCCCTCAACACTCTGAAAGTGATTCAAGATCACCTAAAGTAGCAAATACTGGGGGAAAAAAAGAAGTCATTGAACAATTTGAACCAGGTGTTTATGTAACTTTCATTCAACTTGGAGATAATACCAAGATCTTCAAGCGAGTTAGATTCAGGTACTTCACTAGATGGCGTACTCTGCTCTTCTTTTATGAAAATCTTTTAAAGCTTTCACAAGTCATGCACACAAATACAAACTGTCATATAAAAAACATGTTTGCATATACGGATGAAATTTGCACAAGTTGATAGGTGAGTTTTCCTTTCAACCTTGATTTTATCAACCCTAGAACTCCCACCTCAGATCTTTCGTAAAATATAACTTCACCAACAACTCTCAACGTTTTCCACATCTGCCAATTTTGGTTCTTCTTCATATTTCAGATGTGAATTTATCTTGGAGTTGATCAGTTGACATCTTAGCAACCACTTAATTAAATTTTAAGACAATTGCTCACAAAATCCTATACCTATTTGCAGGGAGATCAAGTAAATGTTTATATTTGCATGCTTCCTTCATTCTCATGAACACTATGCAATCGTCAAATGCATTATTCATGCACGTGACAAGTGCTAATTTTCATGAAGCATACCTAACAGCATTAGCAGCAAATCCATTAAATGTAGTGAGTGATCGGGAATCTATATGTAGCTACAAAAATTGATGGAAACCAGCTTGTTTAAAAAGAACTTTGTTGTCCTCCCAAATGTTTTTGTATCTCACTGAAATGTGTCAATATTGCTACAGCAAACGAAGGTTTGCAGAGCAACAGGCAGAAGAATGGTGGAAGGATAATAAAGATCGGCTGCTTAAAAAGTACAGCCTAACCAAGTTAACCAGCACCCCAACCAGACCATCTGGGGCTCCAACACCTGCTGAGGAAAATGCCGAGGCAGCACCCTCCTCGTAGAATAGTTTGTTAGTTTAGGTCTTGCAATCAAATGCATGAATTTTTGTATGTAGGATGAAGGATCAGCTCTGCGATGGATAAAGCAAAAGAATTCTTTCTCAGTTTCAAAGTAGAAAGAGCAGTACCAATATCAAGATTACATGACCAGAAGCAGAACAAGTAACACATAGATTTTTAATCAGTTGGTTCTTTGATTTCCTGTACTGTTGTATTCTCAGTATCTGGTAGTTACCATTGTACTGGTACAGCAGATTATGAAATTCCCATCATGAATTTTTTTTAATGTAACAAAGTGCAGGAGAGATAAGTCAGATCTGCTGCTTTAGATATAATTCATGTATGAATGTAAATACAACTTTTAAAACTGCATATTTCTTAATCTTCCATTTTTATCAACAAAAAAAGTAAGTACATGGCACACATGGATCTAAATTTTATTTAATTTCCATCGAAAATGTCCAAAACGTTTCAATTTGGTTGAAAACAATAAGAAATCAACAAGTGAATTCCCATGTTTTGAGGCACTTCAAAATATTTCAAAGTGTTTTCGGGATGTTGTCATACGTATTGGCCAACATTTCTTAAACAGATTTTATTTTTCTTTCTTTGAATCTATTTTTTGTGTTTTAAGACTTATCTGAAATATTTTCGAAATGTTTTCATTGTTTGTAATTCCTGCAATACATTGTTGTTCCTCCTTCAATAAATGTGGGGTTGGGCAGATGGGTGGTGGGTGGTGGGTGGGAAGCTCATACCCACCATACAAATTAAGAAAGAAGAAAAAGGAAAACTGCCTATAATGCAAATCTAGGAACCATAAAGTTACCTTGAAACCCAATAATTCTTCTAATATTCTATGATCACAAACTGTACTTCTAGTGAACACATTTTGCATTGTTATGTGTCCATAGTTCTCTGCATCATAAAGAAAATACGCCAAAGCGGATGAAATTCATTGTAATCTATTAGCATTATAAACAGAATTGATGAGTTTTGACGTTTATTTCACGACATATTTATTCTATCATTCATTTCTTCTCAAACGATCACTTATAACCCTTTTTTTAGCACCGCCTAACTATTCTCGCTTACAAAATATTACTATAAACATTTATTTATTTTTAAATAATCACACATAACCTTTTTTTAGCCCCACTCAACTCTCCAACTATTTTTTTGGTTTCATTTCACTCCCATTCTTTCCTACCTCGGTTTGCTTGTAACCAAAGGGCATCCTAGTAATTTTAAAAGTCTACCCCATCCACTGGATCAGAAAAAACACCTGAAATCCAATTTGTTCAGACCACTTTATTTCTCGGGAGATTGACTACGGTACTAAAAAAACAAAAAAATAATATAATATTATTAAATGTATCTTTAATTATCTATTTGACCTTTGAATTATACTATTTGTGTTGATCAAGCATCTAAATTATATTTTGTGTTAATTTGGCCCCTAAATTTAAATTATACTCTAATCTCTGACTCACGTGATGCACACGTAAGCAATTCCGTCAAAGTTAACCACAAATTTATACGGAAAGGGTCACATTGATGTAAATAATATAGTTTAAAGGTTAAATTGACACAAATCATAATTTAGGGACTTAATTAACAAAAATTATATAGTTCAAAAGTCAAATAGATAGATAACTCTAATTATTTACTATTTGTTCGAGTATTTATATGAAGAGTGTTAAAATATGATAGAAATCGTAACAAGAAGTTAAAAAATTTGTGTTTTTTTAAAGTCACTCGTATTGTAAATAAATGGACCTGATATGACATAATTAATAAATAAATTATTTGTGGATGAAACAAATCAAAAGAAATATATTATATGATACGACTCATTTATATATAATTATACATAATATAAATCCAACATGATAGAACTCGTTAGATACAAATGGGGTTGTTAGTCGAATAAGTCTGAGCTGAGTCGAGATTGAAAAATTTATTTCTTAATCAAGCTAATAAAATTATTCAAAGTTGACTCATTTAGAAAACAAGTCGAATCTGAACGAGTTAAAAATAAGTCGAGGTCAAGCTGAGTCCGAGTATTTGCACACAAATGAGTCGAATTTATAAAATTTATTTTTTAAACGAATTTAAAAATTTGTTCAAATTTACGTCCGTTTAAAAAACGAATTGAGTTTGAAGGAGCAAAAGTCAAACCAAACCGGTAGTTGAATTTGAATAACAGCCCCCGATACGAATCCACCCAATATAATTGACTGGCGTTCTATATCATCCTTCCTTCCTTATTTTCCGTGGTCTGCAAAGCACCTGATTTCTGAGCCTACGCGTCCACTTCGATCCAGTTGACCGTTATGCATTGAAAGCTTCAAAAGTTAGATCATCTAGATTACCTTGTATACAAAGAAAACTCTCTCAATTCTTTCTTTAGAAAATTTTCATTTTCCGGGAAAATTTTCTCCTATATATTGATTACTTCTCCTTCCTTCGATCTTAGGGTCATACTTGGGGGAACCGTCGGCTAGGTTTCGATGGGGCTACAACAATCGAAAGAGGAGTCGCTGTATAAGCAAGTCAACCACGGTGCCATAGAAGGCATCAAAGCTCTTCACTCCCAAGGTGCTGGCCTCGAGGTACCCAAAAATTTCAATCTTCAATATCTCTCTCTGTCTCTCTCACTCTCTCTAACATATAGATATGTATGTATAATATGTGTGTGTGTGGCAATTTTCCAGGATTGTGTTGTCTAGGAGCTTTTTGGTGGGTTTATGAATGAATTATTGTGGTGGAAAATTGAATAAGTATTGTTGCGTGGTGATTTTTGGTGCAGTGGACGGATAGAGAAGGGAAGACTCCACTGATTGCGGCTTGCATGACTCCGGAGCTTAATAATGTTGCCAAGACTTTGATAGAATTGGGTGCCAATGTTAATGCATACAGTCGGGGTATGTATATGGGTAGAGTGACTCTTCTTAAGAATATTTTGAGTGGGTTTTAACTTCTTTATTTATTTTCCCATTGATTGATTTTTCAAGGGGACAATTGATGGTATGAATGATATTTGATGGTATTCTTGGAAAAAATAGGGATATTAAATTTGGGATTCTGGGTCTAGTTTAGAGAAGTCAGCCTAGTGGAAAGTGATGATTCTTCATGTAACTCTGTGTCATAGGGTGTAGGCTAGGTTTGATTTAATAGATAAGTCTCAAAGAACTCTTCGATGGTAACCTAATCGCTTGGCGCATGCTTAAAGTATCAATGTCAATAAACCAACTTTTCATCCACACTCAAAGGGTCGACCATTAGGGAGAGGTATTGTGAAGCCTAGAAAGGCAGAAGAGGTGAAATTTCTTTCTTTTACAAAAATGCTTTTGCAATTGCCATTTCGAAATCAGAATCCTTTTTGTGCTTGATTCCAAGCGTATCCTCAAGACCCAGCTCAAGCTGGACCTCTTAATGTTTTCCCATGTTACAACTTCCGTACCAATTTGATCAATCTGGAATGGATCAGTTAAACATTCCATTAGGAAGTCAGGTCTTGACTCTTATGTGTGGTATTCATTCTCGTTCGGCTCTTGGAATCACATCAAGCAGTGGTTGGAACAGCTTGCAAAATCCAACCACTTCACCTACTTCATTGCCCTCAACCATTTCTCGTACCTCTATTGAAATGTAATGGTTTCATGTTCTTTCATCGATTGGTTATTCCTTTCCGTTTGGCATACTTCCTTTACCATTGAAGTTTTAGTTTGCATTTCCAAATTTGGGAGTGTTGAATGCATAGCAGGATGGAATGGTAAGGGCCTTTATCATGACATGATGGAACGAACGGTATGCTTCCGAAAAGAGAGATTCTATGTTGATTTTCAAAATTCCTGAGAAGTGGACCAATTTGATCTCAAAAGGCAGTAGAAAGATTGTTGCATTTTCAAGTTTTTTTTGTCAGGAAAAATCACTCTCTCTCTCTCTCTCCCCCCATGTCAACTATAGTCTCTGGCTACGTTATAGTGCGAGTAATAGAATAGTAGTCAGACTTGTAGATGAAGGTGACCTGTTGACATTATCTTTGAATGCAGTTGGAATTTGGCACCCTGATTGATATATATGCGAAAACATGAAAAATACTGATCAATCCATTTTTTTCTCATGCTTGATTATTACATATAGCTCTATGACATTTAATCTTTCTATCTGGTTCCTATTTTAGTTGTTAAATTGTGCATCTTACTTGTGTTTTCTCCCACTAAAAATTTCTCTGAAATTTTTTAGGCCGCTTCGGTGGGACTCCTTTACATCATGCAGCAAAAAGGGGCCTTGAACAGACTGTGAAATTACTTCTTGCAAATGGAGGTGCGTGTACAGTAATCATATTAGGAAAAGATAGCGTCATTAATCTTTTAGCAGCAACAAAAAATGGTCCTTTCCCACTTTTAACAGTAGTTTACTTGATTTTTTTTTTTTCATGAATTTTCCAGCAAATGCATTAGTGACGAATGATGACGGTCAAACTCCACTTGATGTTGCTAGAGTTAGAGCATATGGCAATATTGTCCGTGCAATTGAGGTAACTTATAAAGGCTTTACTTCATTTGATTATACGATAAAGTTTGTAAGATGGAAAAGTATTTATATTTTTCATTTTATAGTTGCATAACAATATGTGCTTATTATGTTTTTGATGCTGCTTAGAGCCATCTCTGCTTGTTCTCTGGTTGGTTGCGGGAGCTTTACGGGCCAAGCTTTCTCGAATTACTTGCTCCTCAGTTTCTTTCAAGAAAAGTGTGGGTATTATGTTCATTTGTTCCTTTTTGAAGTGTGTTTATACAATTGACTTCTATGCTAAATATACATGTTATTGTTTGCAGTTGGGTGGTTGTTTTACCATGTGGTTCCCGTATTCCCACTAAGCCATTCAAATTGGAGCTTGCTATATATAATAATTTTCAGGTATTTTGCTGTCTAATTTTTCACAACCAAAAAGTTAGCTAATTTCGTGAATTTGCTTTTATATTCAAATTTCT